TGGTTCTTGTCTTTCCTTCATCCGCTCTCTGCTCTTCCGAGAGTTCAAGCTTCCTTCTAACGAATGTGAAACAAGACAACTCTGGCCCCAGTCTTCATCGTATGCGATCGACTTCGCCACGGCCGAGTCGTTTCAATAACTCCCGGTGCAAGTCAAAGAAGAATTATGCCGAGTAACTCAGTAAAGCCGACTACCAACGCGGGTCCCGGGGTTCATCAGCGCGAACGCTATCAAATGTACGTTGCGCCGCCTGTGACGGTTTATTTTACCTTCCACTTGTTAAGTAATTGCCTATAGGGCCACCGCGGCACGCCCTCTCGGGCAACGCTGGTACGAGTATTCCTACCTGTTCAGCACAGGGACCGCATACAGTACATACTTGCACTGGACCCGGATATCCATGCACCTCCGACAGGCGTGTGCAGCAAGCAAGTGAGGGGAGTGGTAAACTCAAGCGCCATTTACTTAACAAACCTCCGGAACCAGCGCCGGGAACCCGAGTATCGAACAGGCCGAGCTATGCCGAGTATATTCTGGTCGGCAGTTGTCGCTCCTCGGGTATTCGACCTTTCCGACGTCAACGAAGAAGGGGTTGACACGGGCGGTGTACTACGGTGTAAAGTGAGTTTGAGAGCCAAAGAACGAAGCAAAGAAACTCACAACTGAGTCCGCGAGGCGGAATCTGGATCATTTGCACTTGGGATCAATTTGAACCACTCGACGTTGTCTCCATGGATCTTGAAATCCCGCTGGGTTATTCGAATACTTATACTGATCTGACGAGAACTGGGGATGTTCGGGACTTCCCTCGACCCGGTCGCTATTTTACATTCGCCAGAGGCAACAATGCGGGCTGATCAATAATAAACATTGCCCATACTGTGAACCGGATCTGCTCTCGTCTGCCAGATCTGGGATGGCGCCTAATTCAATCCCCGCGGTAAACTTCCAAAGACCTTGGCGCTTTTTTGGCATCAAGTCCAAGCGAAACGAGGGTATCGCTCCAGCCACCTCATCTTTCGTTCTTTCTGGTCTCCTCTTAGGTACTGCGTAGTGAGTTTCTCCTCTGCCCTGCGCTGGCTCGTATCATGCTGTGGTGTGCTAATATATATATCCCAGTCTATTTACCCACCCTTTCGCTCCCACAGTCGCATTTCATTTGATATTTTCTGTCGACTACCCCTGCCCTTCTTTTCATCCTTCACATAACATCCATTCCATTAATCCGCGCCTTTAAACATGTTAACCCCGTCTGCGATCATCGCCTTGACCCTCATCACTGCCTCGGCGCCTGGGATCTCTGCGCCTGTCCCCGCCGCTCGGGAGCTACCCACCACGTACGCGTGTCTCCCTTACTCGGACGTTGTTCTAAAAAATACCGACGCACGTTCACAGTAACGGCGTTGCTGCCCGCAGCAGTGCAAGCTTGCTCGAGGGATTCCTCGGCCAGGGCTTCGAGAGCGTCGGCGCAGATTTCCTTGGGGGAGGCTCGTCGGCAACTACCAGCACCGATCCTCGCACAGTCAGTGCATGATAATTCGGAGCTTTCGAGGGCATTGCCGGCGACGTCATCGGAACCGGTAAGCTACCGTTCCATCCTTAAATCAATCCCAATCTTATCTGGCGCCACAGTTGGGGGCGGCATCGAGTCCATCCTGAGCAAGCTGTTCAGGTACGCATCACGCTTTCTACCTAAAAACACCGTCTCCGTCCCTGATGCCTTCTCTCTCATTTAAACAAGATATGCCGTCGCTTCGCTCCGGCGAGGTGTCCTCATTAATACTTAGACGTCATCCGCTCCCTTTGCTCCGGTGGCTGAATGAAACGAAAAAATCCCTCACATTGTTGAACCGAGGTAAGTATAAAGCACATAGTTTACGAGGTTTCGGCTGGAAGCGCAGGTTCATGAACTACGAATTTAGTCTACTCAATTATGGAGGTGAACGGTGGGAATTTTGGACAACGTCTCGGTCAGCCACATACTGTTTTGGGATCAATTTACATGCAGATTAACACATACTCAACGTCGAAACAATACCGTACGTAGTCAATGTGCTATACCTCGTACTCCTCAGGGACCCAATTCATCCTGTGCAGAATCAGAACACAGCTGGGAAGGGGCGTACCTGAAAAAACATTCTCCCGAGTCCGCCGTTCGGTTAATCGCTACCTGCCGCTCGAAGCACTTGCGCACGCCGGCGCGATGAGCTGGATACGAGTGAGGGTGAGTGACTAGTGATCGATAAATGAAGCGCGCCGGTGTGCAGGACGTACCGTGTCGGGACAGGTCTGTGTAGTGCGGAAGGGGAGGTGATTACATGTGCAGGACTTGCAGCGGCCGTGTGCACAGGTGTGAAGGCGCCGGTATCTGGCGAGCGAGTCGAGAGCTGAACATCGAGGAAAGGAGGTTCAATAGATACGCACCTGATCCCCGCTCATGATTCCTTCGCAGCACTTGACACATGTGCCTATGCATACGAGGCACAGCTGCATATAAATGTCTGATCAGCGATTAATTTAACAGAAGATGAGGTCTGCACTTAACCAGGTTCAACTCTGCCCGCGATGCCCGACGAAGTAGAAGGAGCAGAATCGGTAAACGAACGACGAGAGACTGGAGAGTTGAAGGTACGGAAGTCTGGGGGCGCGGTTGTGCATTGAACGACGCGGAAGCACTTGAGGAAGTTGCAGCCAGCGATCTTGAAGTGTTCTACCAGCCAAGCAGAGCGGTTGAAATGCAAATCGGAGCCGGGATTGAGCATGGCCTCTTCATCGGTTTTGACGCACGGAAAGTCTAGATCTCGAGAGAGGGGAAGAAACGTTGCCGGATTATGGGTGGATAGGGATGAGAGCAGCAGGGGACAGAGCAGTTTGGGTGGAGTGCGCTGCGTCCAGGCTTGAGACTCTTGATTGAGAGGAACGGCGTACGAGACCAGGATTAAATGCGGCGCAGAAACATCAAGCGGAGTCAACGATTGAGAGGTGCAGCGTCTTGGTCTTGATCCGCACATCTTGCGCAAGGCTTGCTGGTCGCCAAGAACGCTGGTAACCACCATCTCGATGAGTGAAGGAGGGCTACTGAATGGCGGGAAGATGATGGGGGAAAGCAACCAGGGAAGATCAGCCAGGTGTTCCTTTTGAGCGGGGCTTGATCGCGCGAGCCTGGGTCGTGTGATTACTCTGGCATGGGGGCACGCAGTTTGCCGGGGTTCGTCAAAGTTAAATGTTGATCGGCCTTCTCATTTGGAGGGAAAAGAGGGACAAATAAAGCACGGGCGGATCCAAAGCTCTGGAGCAGGGAACATGGTTGAGAAAAAAACTGAATTGAGGTGATGGTAAATACGCGCATACTGATACGAACCATCTGCTTATAATACGAGTAATAATTTAGCCGCTCCTTCACCGATCTCTCGGACGGCGAGGTCAACCAGCTGCTCGAGTACATCGATGCCGTAGACAAGCGCGAATTGGAATTGAATGCTCGGGCTCCTCACTTCTCTGAAGACGTTGGGTAAGGGCGTTCTTTCTGGTGCTGCTATCATCGATCTCGAGAAGCTGTTGGGTGGTGCTGGGGACTCGACCACGACCACCACTGACACCACCGAATCCGCCGCACCGCCTTCTGCGTGAATCCATCTTTTCTGTGTCTTGGCTCGGCGACTCAAACCGCTTTCACCGGGACAGAACGGATGCACCAGCCCTCTCGTAAGCACTCTCATCCTAACTCTATCTCAAAAATCCATAGCTAATTGATGATTCCAGCCGTCGTGCCTTCGCCGATCTTTCGGATAACGAACTCAACCAGCTCCTGGAATACATCAACGGGATGGGAACCAAAGCCGCTTGTGGCGCCAGCTTGAACGAACTAGATTGATGAATTAATTCGTGGATTTATGTCTCCATGATATATGTCACCACCGTCGTTACTTACTCATATTATCATTGGCGAATTAATACGTGGCGAAGTCATACTTTCTGCTGCACAGACTTTCCTTGGAAACACTGCAATTCGTTAGCCAGGTGTATATTTTCTTCGATCTTCAAGGAATGTCTTCCGGGTTGTCCCAAAGCGAGCGGCTAGAGGGGAAGAGCTACCCTTATTTCAGTCTTCTTGTATCCCACGTCTTTCACCACTCATTTAAACAAGAGCAGAAAACTCATGTCGGCTGAGTGGAGGGGCCCGCGCACACCGGAGAATGATGGGAATCATACGATATGTAACACCTCGGACTTCGAGAACATCGATAGACCTCAAAAATGAGGCATCGAGTCGGTGCATGGCGATCCACGGAGATATCCAAGCAAACTGCAGTTCATAAAGTCAGTGTTAAATCGCGGATTGTGGAATACCGATGAACAGTGAACACAAGCTATGCGTTGTGTACGAATACGCGGGCCAGATGACAAAAAGAAACGAAAACTTGAACGCTGGGAGAAGGGAGCTAACAAAGGGGAAAAAAGTAGTGGAACAATATCTATGACTCGGGCCCGAGTCGAACGATGTCCGCGTGTAAGTGGGTTCCGATGGCAACATAGCCAGCAGATACGGACCGTCCGCCACCGAGCCGATATTTCGCTTGGAAGCACCCTGTATAACCAAGTTCAAAATTCACTATACCAGGACACGAAATGTCTTGGAATGGGAGCCTGGCCAAAAAATAGGTGCAAAAAAGACAATGCACGAGTCTCGATGAGCTGGGCCCGAGTCGAACGGGCGTCGTTTGCCTGCAAGGTTGGAATAGACCCCTTCTATCAGCAGCAGATGCGGATCTTCCGCCACCGAGTCGGTACAGGCATCTCTCATGACCTGGATAACCAAGCAACCTATGAGAAAAAATTGCATCATGGGTGAAATACTGACGAGCACCAGCGACTCGGAGGCTCGGTGTTCTGAGCAAAGGCACTGGAAACGCGCAACATGGGTTCCCGGAAGAAGGGGCAAAACATATAAGAGGGCGGTAAGAATATTAACAAGAATAAAATCACCAAGATCGCTCACATGACTCGGGCCCGAGTCGAACGGGCGTCTTCTGCTGACTACATGGTTATCCCTTGAACGAAGGCAATGCGGACCTTCCGCCACCGAGTCGGTGTTGAGTCTGAATGTATCAGAGCCGTCAATTTCGCAGTCGAATCCCTTTGGATGCAGCAACACCGACCATAGCTTCCTCGCGAACCCAACGCGAACCCCAACCCACCTTGCCTGGGCTTCTCCCCTCCTCACCCTCCGCCCTGCACCGGTGATCACGGTCATGGTCGCCGTGCGCGGGCCTTTATCATCCCTGCGCGTGGCTGCGGTATCTGCACTGCGCGTCTACGTCCTGTGCTCACTGCGCGTTCATTATACCGCGTGCCGGCGTCTGCATTCCCTTCCTCCGTATCGGCGCGGGCGTTTACGATCTTCTGACTGCGCCGCCCTCTGATTCCGCTGCACCGATGAGTGGCGTCCATCACCTTTGTCGACGTTCATGGTGTGTGGACGTCTACCGCGGGGTGGGCGCGCGGTTTTATCCTGTCGCCGCTGTTGGCAGTGGAGTAGGGCGTGCTGGAAGCACGTCAATGTTTTCTGCGCGCGACTGCAACCCCGTGGATGGGCCATTCTCCCTGTGGGCGGGTGGTTATTCTGCCGGCGTCCATCGCGGTGTGGGCGCGGCACGCAAGGTCTCGTTGTGGCCCGGGTCAGGATGGCATGTGGAATAATGCGTCCAGGTGTTTTCATGCAGCTACGGCGCAGATATTGATCCGCCATTTCGTTTTGATATCCGCCCGTCGTTGCTCATGCGCGGGGTTTCGCTTTTCATGCGTTCATCTCCGTCTTTTCTTTTCTATCGGCGCTTTTCCTTCAGTGGTTCCTTTTGCTTTCTGCTCATTTGTCCGTGCCGCCGCGTTCTTTTCATTTCCCCGTCCCCATCCCAGCTTACTTTCTTATCCTACGCTGTGTGTCACTTAGAGGTGTCTCAAGCCCGATAACCAAGCGTCAATGTCATGCCTCCGCTTGGACTAGGCGGTGATTCCTTCCGCGCAGAGCGCATTTTGGTGCGAGTCCGAAATGCATCATGCTCACGCGAGTCCGAGATGAGTTGTGCTCATATCTTACCTTTTTGCTCAATGTAGGTCTTCCCGCGGAGCTAACGGGCGAGCATGCAGACGGGGCGGGGCGTACGCTTCGAATGCAGAGCTCGCCAGGGGAAGTATCGCCCTTGCTCGGGGAGCATATATAGCGCTCGCGGGGAGCTCGTGCGTATGGGTAAGATGCATATCCGCTCCGCACAGCAAGTCTGATTCTGGTCTGCACCCCCATCTACGCTACTGACTACATTGAGCGCAAGCTGATTTTGTCTTCCGGGCCCTCGAGTGCACTCGGGGGAATAACCTGGGTGGAAACTCGGCCTGTGGTACTGTAGATATGAAGGGGATGCATGCCGTATTGTAGCTATATCTTAGAAGTTTATCCACCTTTTCAAGTTCTGCCTATGTCTCTGGCCTTTTTCTTATCTCAACATGGTCAACTTCAGCAACCAAGATGGATTTTCAAGTCGCAGTTGCGAATCCTTGAGGAATGCATTCAGCATCCACTCATTACTCGCGCAAGCCCAACTCCTACTCGTGCCCATCTGCCCATGAGTCACCCAGGCTTGGATGCGGATGACAAAATTGAGTTGTCGATTTCCGACGGTGCATGAAGATAAATGCGAGTCGCGGACCACCAAGCGTTGAGAAATCGAAAAAAAAACGAAAGCTCATTCCAAATGACTCAGTCCCGAATCGAACGGGCGGTTCCTGCATGAGAAGACTCTGCTCCACTATCAAGATGGGACAGGCGCGGACCATCCGCCACCGAGTCGGTACTAACACCTCTTCTGCCCTGAACAAATATTGGCAACCTCTCCGAGCGACGTGCAGCCGCGCAAAAAATGAACCCAAAATTATGGGACACAATTTTTCTCTGCGAAACGACCCAGTTTTCTGTGCAGAGGGCGCCCATTCGATGCGGGACTGAGTCATATCTCAGGGGAGGTGGCTGCTTTTTTCTCTCTGGAGTCTGGTTTATTTCGTCAATGTTCGTCACACTAACGGCTTCGCAGAACTTGGTCTTGGGAAGAAAGAGTACGAAAGGAATCTAAAGAAAAAAGGATCATTCGAGTGCAGATGAGTCGGACCTGTGTTGAACAAGCGACTTCGGAACCAGACCCTCTGCTACTGAGTCGGCATCAGGCTCGGAATTACTTCCCCTGCGTAAGGAGGATCAATAATGTTCAGTCTGGGGTGAGATGAGGAATACCTAGCAATGAAGGGCGTCATGAGGGCACCAACTGGCCGAGAGTTATCTGGAACCCATGTGTTACCAAATATTATCGCGGAGTAACGAGCATACCAGCCCAAAATTTAGTGAGAGCAATGATAATGATTCACACACGCCGTTAAAAACAATATAAGCACGCGAGAGATTAGGGGGAAAAATATGCACCGTTCACGCATGACTCGGGCCCGATCGAACGGGCACCCTCTACTGCATTAAACTCAAGATCAAGAACACCTTGCAGACGCGGACCTTTCGTCACCGAGTCGATACAAGCAGCATGGGTATGCGAGCAAGCTGGAACTAGTCAAATCGTGCATGAGGGCTGAGTGATTTAAATACCAATAAAGATGCAGGAGGATTCATGGAATTGCGGCACATACAAGGAGAGGGATCAAGATCCACTGACTCAGCACCATCTGCTGGGATTTAGTTGTATGTGTCCGGGTGAAAGAAAACTGGAATGTGTGGGCAAAATACAAAAACCGCCAAAACCAGTGGATGGCTCGAGCCCGGGTCGAACGGGCGTGCTGTTCTTGACATTTTGATGGTATTTATCGGCCGCAGATGCGGACCGTCCACCACCGAGTCGTCGAAAGCAGTTCATTCCACCTGGACATGTTATTGCATCGGGCATCGTGGATGAAAGTACATACCAGCCCGGACGAGGGAGGGTTCGCGGCCACCGCCACATGATGAAAATACGCGGGTCCGATTGAAAAAGATCGGCACTGGAAAGAAAGAGTGCGGAAAAAGGGGGTCCTTTTCCTCCATGACTCGGGCCCGAGTCGAACGGGAGCCTTCTGTGCGGACTCTGTGTACCACATACCGTGAGCAGATGCGGACTTTCCGCCACCGAGTCAGTATTCAGTCTGAAAGGCAGGAAAAAATTAAGCCGCTTGGAAATAGACTGGAGCTCGGATTCGGTGTAGGCGCAGAATGATTGAGGTCCTCTCCGATGGATGTTGTCCAGGAACACTGATGAGAGCAGACCACAGGCGGGAGGAAACGGGTGACTGGAAAAGAAAGTCAACAAGTTAAAGCTCGAAGGTGGGAGGAAAAGTGCGTGCAATTGGCGTGCAAACAAAAGCTTTGAATCGGTGACATGACTGGGGCCTAGTTAGAACACGCAACTTCCGCCGAGGAACTTCCGGCACCATTCACCCAGATGAATCGGGTGCGATTCCCTTCGCCACCCAGTCGCAGTGGCAACTCCCAGTACGAGAAGACGACGGTAAGAAGGAAGAGGTACCGGCACACCAGCCCGGCACCGCCCTCGGCATGTCGTGACGTCACTGACGTGGTGCTTCCTGTCTTCCTCCTTCATCTGCTCTCTGGTCTTCCTGGCACTCAAGCTTTCTTCTAACGAACGAGCAACAAGATGACTCAGGTCTGAGTCAAATGGGCGTATGCAATACACTTCCATACCGCCGAGTCTTTACAACAACTCCCGGTGTAAGTCAATGATTTTTTTTGTTTCTCCCGTTGAATCTCGGGGACCGGGAATCGACGTTCGATCAACCGCCTATGCCACACCCTCACACTCGACTAATTCCCGGGCCCTTGACAACGACATTGTCACCTGTGGCGCATTTCAACCCGATACGACACTACTCAGCATCCCATCAATTCCGGTGATCTCGGTCCTGCCGCTCTGTCATTGATGCCGCACACGACCTCGCATTTTCAACGCTAGGGTATGGGATGTACTCTGCGCAAATGAGATCAGATGTATTCACATCAGCTGGGCACGCGCGTGTTCGATATTCAGTGCCTTTCCTACCTTCGGGGAATGTTTAATATTAAATAATGAAATCAGAAAGTGCTCGAACTCGGGTTTCAACGGACAAACGTAGCGAGTGCAGGACGGATTCTCAGAGGAACTGGGGGGAAAAAATAATACTGGAAAAAAATCCAAAAGAAAACCAAACTCGCTATGCACGACTCGGGCCCGAATCGAACGGGCGACTTCTGCTGAATGGCGATGAATGTTTATATTAAACTTGGCAGATGCGGGCCGTCCGCCACCGAGGCGCTATTGACCTTGGACGTGCCTGCGTAAATGAGATCAGCATCGGCTAGGCAAGCGCCTGGTGGGTATTCAGTACTCTATTGCCTTGGCAGAATCTCAGAGTGCGTTCGGGATATGGAAATCCCATCGTTTAAAACGATCGGTGGGATGATCGATGGGATGATCGGTGGGATTTGTCACGCCGGAGCGCGAGCGGAGTTTGAAGTGCAGCTTCGGCAGGTTGATTTTCTTGCCTTTAGTATTGTGAGGTCATCCTAGAAAGCATTATAAAGTCTCTTAGTTCTCGTCATGTTAAAATCAAGTCACTGTTGCTTTTTGGGACAATCTGGTGAGCAATCATATGAGCATGTTCAACTTCTTCATGAGTACCACAAGTTTGAGGCCAATATTGGAGTTTTTATCACAAAGGAGACCACATAAAACTGATAAAACATGCGCTAAGCCACAGCACGAAGAAGTATCGTGTTCTGGATGAAGTATGTACAGCTCACGACCTGAATTCAAAGTCCGCCATTATGTAATTATGGACACCGCCGGCGTCAACACAAGAGTTACATGTTGGTAGACAGTTGACAGGACGTTAATACTGGATTACTATAGAAGATAGGAAAATAGTAGGGCGTAGAGAGGTCAATCGGTGTTATCGGCATACTATCAAAATTCAAGCTCCGACTGATTGCGGCCATTGCCGATGGTATTGATTGTGGTATTGATCGTGGCATGTTTGGTGGGATTTCCAACTCCCGAATTTCCTGGA